AAATTACAGCTTTCTTCTGGCTTTCAGGACAGTCTGCAGCTCATGTTTTCATACGGTCTGAGTTCCTCACATTTGGCTTTTCCAAGGCTCTGACTGCGGAGAAGGTTAAGCAGTTCAGTGCTTGAGTTGCTGGTACAAAAACAAACCTACAGATTTCTGATTCACAACACACCCTAGAGAAACAGCCCAGCTGGAGCCACGTATATGTACTATTGCATTGTACACACCCAATGTTTATTTACAGAGCAAGCCAAGTAAGGCTGCCATCCCTCCAGGTTTCCTTTAACATGTACTTTTCATGCCCAAAAATTGTCCTTGGATCAAGTTTTTGGTGGGAAGCGAGTGTAAAATGACTGTATGTGCAGGACCTGCGGACAGCAGGCTTCTCCAGCATGCCTACCAAGAGGTGAAATGCAGGTGTACAGGGGAGAGCTTGTCCACAGCTGCTGCAAGTTCTGAGATACTGGAGGAAACAGTGGGTTTTCTGCACCTACACTATGGCTTTCCTGCCAGAGAGCACATCTGTCATCCCACCCTGGGGACATCAGATGCCACCACAGAACAAAACACCTTTCCAAGGACTCTGCAGCTTCACACAGCCACCCTGCAGACCACAGTCCGCAAGCCACAGCGCTGAGCTGGATCAACACCCCCCCAGAATCTATGGGACCACTCCCAAGTTTTGAGCTGGGCCGGTCCAAGGATTGTCAACACTAACAAGGGGAGGAAAGTGATGGCAAAAATGCCCCAAAAAGGGGAATTTCCCCTAAAGGCTGGAGAACCTGATATCAGCATCTGGAGCTGTGTACTGAAGCTTTTTACAATTTTGCCAAAGCCTGGATTTTTCTGCCCTCCTCACCCACCTTACTAGGGAAAAAGCACTTCTTCCCGCCCAAGAGAAGAGAGGGTTTAATTCTTACTTCAGCAGGGCTATAGAAGTCACAGCACAAGGCAGATGAAAGCCCTTCACTTTATAAAAACACGTCTTCGTCCCTTAAAAGTCGAAACAGGCTGAATGTTAATAACCATTTTCCAAAACCTCACTGACACTCATTCGCACTATTTGCCCAAGGGCTCAAATTCCTCTAGACCTATAGCTCCAGGTCCTTGATTACCTCGGTTACAGCATTGTCACCAGCAGATTAACAAAGTGTTGGGAGGTGACTGAGGCTGCGTTACAGACCATGATGGCGAGGAGAGGTGATAATTCACCCATGCACCCAAGAACCGACAATGTCCACGGGGTGCCTGCAAGACCAAAGCCACACAAGGTTTGGCTGCAGTACACTAAACACACACGGCAGAGCAGCTCACTTCATCATATAAGCCCTGATACATCCAGAAGGCATAAAGCCACAAAGAATAATTACCAAGAGAACTATTTTTAAGACACATAGCAAAGGTTTAGTGGGGTTTTTTGTTGCCCCCCCTCCCCTCTTTACAGCAAAGGTGCTGGGTAGCCAGAGATATTCCCAGTCCCTGACCTGTCTGGGTACAAGCCTGCCCTAGGCAGGAGAGCTCAGGAAAGGCTGGCCCTCGCTTCCTCTCTGCCCAGCAAACCCAGGGAGACCCAGCTTCACTTGCACCCCACTGTTGGTGTTGGTACCTGCAGTGCTGCCAGCCCCACAGCTGGGAGCACGAGAATCTGCTCCCATCCTGCTCCGATGTCCTTGGCACCCACAGCTCCCTGGGCATGGCTGGGTGTACAAATGGGCTGGTACCAGAGCTTAGGAGAAGGAGCAGCTCACAGCCAGCTGCTGTCCTCCTAGAAGAGCTAAGGAGGCTTCCCTAAGGGTCTAAATACTCAAAGACTGGGTTCAGTAGGTTTCCTTAATGAGGGTGCTGCTCCAAGATACATCACTGGATAACATTTGCAGCTGTGTGTGCTCTGGGGCAAGGACCTGGCCTGAGCCTTGCCCGGCTGCCCTGTTGTGGCAATCCCCAGTTAGGGGTCACGGCTCACCCTCCCTTCACCTGGCTCACTTGACTCGTGAGGGACTTGACCCCCTTTTCACCCAGCACCTGCTTTTTCCAGTACTGCTGCATGCGCCGGCCCATGTGCAAAACCAACATGAACAGAAATCCACTTTTGCAAAATCTTGAGGGGTTTCAACAGCTGCTGTAGAAAACCCTCTGCACCTCACATGTGAGGGCTTCTAGGCTCTAGGAATTAGTGATAGCCCACAACAGCAGATGTTTCTCCTCCAAGCATTTACCCAAATAAACAACAAACTCACCTGGCCAAATCCCCACAATCAGCATCTCTAAGGGAAACTGGGATTTTAAAGAACAATTTCTTTCCACTTCTGTACCCTCAGAATATACTCTAGTGTACATATCACCCTTCACTTGGGTTCACTGTGGGTGGGATGAGAGACCCTAAAGCACTTCAGCAGCAGCCTCTGCTGCCCCCACACGAAGAAATGCCTGTTGGTAAATCACTGCTGCCCTTCGGTTAAAAACAAAAACAACACATGGGAACAGGAAAAAAATGCATACATATTAAAGGTCTAAATGAAAGTTTTCCCCCAAAATACACGGCTCATCAGAGCCACAGAGGAGCACCTCCCAGACCTGGAGGCCACCGTTAGCCCAGCTGTAAGCCTGCTGTGGGTGTGGGGACCCATGGGGTGGCAGCGAGCCACCCTGCCAGCTCCCACCCCACCAGCGCTCCTTGGCCCAGCCTTCTCTGCAAGGACAAACCAGCTCCCCATGTGCTCCAATACACCAGGAAAAAACCCTCCCCAGGAAACTTGCAGTTTGTTTGTTCAGTGGCCTCTTGTGCTATTTGGCAAGTGACTTTTGGAAGAGTGGAGCCAGGTACCTCGGTGGTGGTGGTGAGGGGGCTAGGGGTGAGCATCCCAAAATACCGTGTGCCCCAGGATGTAGAGACAGAGTCACCACATAATTCCAGGTGCTTTAACAGCAGCTGTGCAGGGAGGTGGTGCTGGTTTATAAATGTATGCCATTTATAGCTGAACTAGCCATTTTTATGCCTAACCTCGCCAATTCAGGCAGGGTTCCCTGGGAGCTGGGGGAAGCAGAGGAGCAAGAAGGCAGGCAGCAGTGCCCATCCCAGCACCAGGCAGGGCTGGGCATCATTCAACAGGCACAGAACGTTCCCAGCAAAAGGCTGTTTATTCCACTAGATGGTGCCCAGGCCTTGGTTATGGATCTTGCTTCAAGGCATAGTCGAGGACGTGGTTAGACTGGGGATGGAGGTGGCTGGGCACCACACTGGGGTCCCCGTGGGGCTGCAAATACGCCAGTCCAACCCCTGCCAGCAGTGAGACCCCAGAACCACCCCTTGTTTGCCAGGCAATGGCAGAGGCTGAGCCCGAGCTCCTCGATCGGATCCATGGTCCGTCAGACTTGGGATGTGCCATGCCGTGACAATTCCAGGGGCGAGGCGCCCAGTCCAGGCTGCCAGCAGCCCTGCAGCCCCTTTATCTCTGAGTGGGTGAGATGGCACATGAGGACCCTGAGCCTTTGGGGGTCTTGTGGATGCTGCCCCACGCCTGGGAAGCTGCAAGCAAACCCGTGCCCCAGGCTGCTTAAACCCCCAAGTCCCTGCAGCGCTGGCACCAGGCTGCCTGGTGGGGCTCCCCTGAGGCCAGTGGGGCCGGTTGCCTTGGTGTGGGGCGTATTGGGT